CTCACTACTCACTCCGCCCTACTCGCTTCCCACTACTCACTACCCGCTACTCCCTGCTCGCTACTCACTACACACTGCCCACTGCCAATACCCACTACTCTCTACTCATCACTACTCACTACTCACTACTCACTACGCATTACGTACTACTCAGTACTCAGAACTCACTACTCACTATTCACTACTCGCTACTCTCTTCTCACTACTCACTACTCACTAGTCACTACTCACTGCTCACTACTCACTACTCACTACTCACTACGCACTACGCACTACCCACTACTCACTACTCACTAATCACTACTCGCCACCCACTACTCTCTACTCACTACTCACTACCCACTACTCAGGACTCCCTACTCCCTACTCAGTACTCACTTCTCACTACTCGCTACTCACTACTCACTACTCACTACTCGCCACTCACTTTCCACTTATCAGTACACACTACTCACTATTCACTACTCACTAGTCCCCACCCCCTACTCCCTACTCCCTACTCGCCACTCACTACCCACTACTCACTACCCCATACTCACTACTCACTACGCACTAACTCACTACTCACCACTCCCTACTCCCAACTCCGTACTCCCTACACACCTTCTCTGGCGCAGAAAGGAAAAGCGAGAGAGGCCCCCCCTCCCCAGCTCCCTTTCCGGCGCAAAGGGGGGAAGGTGGGAAGGGGAGGGTCCGAACCCCCCCCCCCCCTTTCCCAGCGCCAAAGGGGGGAGGGGGGGGTGTCGGACCCCCCCCCCTTCAATGGAGGGGGTGGTGAGTGGGGAGGAGGGGGTTCGAACCCCCCCCCCCCCTAAAGGGGGGAAGGGGGGAGGGTGGTTCCGGATCCCCCCGCCCCCCCTGAAGGGGGGGAGGGTGGGTGGGGTTCCAGACCCCCCCCCTTTAGTGTACTCAGGGAGATCCACTGGCGCACTTTCACCTACTACTACTGCTGCTGCTACTACTACTACTACTACTACTACTACTACTACTACTACTACTACTACTACTACTACTACTACTACTACTAATACTAC